CGCCTCGGCCGTGCTGACCGCGGCCGTCCAGGCTGCGGTCTTCCGCGCCTGAGTGGAAGCGTGGGCGCCCCCTTTGCCTGGAAGCTTCTTCCCTGCTCTCCACGAGGTGACCTTTTCCTGTCTTGGGTCAGATGTCACCTCCTCGGAGAGGCCTGCCCTGACCAGCCACCCACCCTGGACGCCTGCGTCCATCCCCTGTCACGTCGCCGGGCGGTGGCCAGCACGGCGCTCCCTTCCCTCTGCCACGTGTGCGCTGTTTCTGCGCTAGAAGGGAAACTCCATGAGGGCAGGACCCCGTCCTTTCTCTGCTGTCTGCCCAGCACGTGTTCCGGGCCGAGTTTCTGTTGAACAGATGAAGGAAAGGAGCCTCCGCTGGAGTTGTGATGGGACGTGGCCCGACTGCCTTCTGCTGCCTTCCTCATGCCCCTCGCTCACGTCTGTGCCGCTGGGGGCGCTGCCAGGGTCGGGAGATGCCTTTTCTCCCCAGAGCAGCCTGGACCTGGAGCCAGAGGAAGCCTAGTGCACCACTGTGTTGGTGGCAAGCCAGGGCCCTTTGTAATGTGTACCTTCATGTTTCTTATGGGTTTTTCTCCCCTATCTTTCCCCCCACAATATAAGCCCATGAGACAGTAGGGACCTCGTCTGACTTGATTCCTTCTTTTCAGATGTGTTGAGTAACTGCGTAGTAGTCATGTGCTTGGCACTGGAGAGACAAGGAATGAACCAGAGAGACGAGTCCCCTGCTCTCATGGCGCTTACCTTCTAACAGGGGAGAGAAACCAGCAAACAACAATATTTCAGATGGTGGTCAGTGCTGAGCAGGAAAGAAAACAGGCTGACGTGATGCGATTAGACCCGAGGTTGTGTGGCCAGCACTGGGCCCACAGTAGGTGCTCAGCAGATATTGGTGGAATGAATGCTGGCTACAAGTAACCCAGTTTATGTGTACTGTCAGGACGTGGTATCGGGTAACTTACCCAGAGTTGCCCAGTTGGCAGATGGCACATTTGAGCTCAGACTTCAGAGCTCACCCTCTTAACAATTATGTTTTCTGACCCCTGGGAAATACTCCAGAACTGTGGCTGTCCAGAGCTTTGCCTCCCAGGTTAACAATCTGAAATGACCCCAGATGCATAAAGAACCAAAGGTTCTCCAGTTAAAATGAAAATAAAGCAAAAACAGAAAAGCATCATAAAAGCCTGATGTGAATTATAATTCCATGACAGTCCTTGAGCTTGCGTGATGTTCTCATGCCCTCCTGGAGGAGGCAGGCTGGCAAGGGAGTCCAAGGAGCTAAAGGGAATGTGGCGGGGGATGGTTTCCACTTGAGTTG